TCTCTCTCTCTCTCTCTCTCTCTCTCTCTCTCTCTCCAGATGAACACACAAACAATAATAAAAAATCTAACATACAAGAACACATAAAAAAAATATGAATTTCCTAAATCCTAAACTTGTAACCATGACAGAGATCGAGTTAAGTGGTTTAGAATGGAACCCCAAATATACACAAATCCAAATACACACACAAAGATACATCGATCTGCATAGTTGGGATGTGAGGCAGAGTATAAATCGCCATCTGAACACGTGAAGTCTCTCATTCTCCGTCTTCAAGATCTGATGAGTCGTCCACCGTGTCTTTCCTTCTCTGGCGACACCCTCTTCAAGATCTGATAAACATCAAGGGGTGACGACAAGAAAACTTTAAATGTTCAGATCTCGATGATGGTTAAGGGTGATAAATCTTCTTCTTCGGCATGAGGATTTTCATCTGAAACCCTAAACGACGGCTGAAACCCTAAAAACTAGAAGGGTGGCAGCTGAAACCCTAAATACAAGCACACACGAAACCCTAGCGACGCACCATCTCCGATATGTTTCGTCCTCCATCATTTCGTCTTCGGATCTGGCAATGATTTTTAGGGGCAATGAAATGATTCGAGTTTAGGTTTCATAGTAGAAATCAATTTAGGTGGTGGTGAAGGGCCTTGAAACACCGAAAAGGGTTTCATATCAACTGTGAGAGGGATAATCGGAAAAGGACAATTGTGGTGGTGCTCTTGCAGATCTTCACGGGGCTTCTAGGCAGCTGATGAAGGCTATCAAACGGATATACATTGACGATGGCCATGAGCGGCGGTGACATGGATTAGATATCCAAAAAAACCCCACATTGGAAATATCCGTTCTCGTCGGATCTTGGTCTGATGTCGTCTCTTCCGGCTCCAATGAATGCTCCGGCAAGTGAGAGATTGAAAGTGGGCTTCAACTTCAAGACATTGTGGTGGATTTGGGGCAGGAGGATTGTCATCGATTTGTGGATTTGTGTTCACAGAGTAAACACACACTCAAATACGAGAGAGAAAGAGAGAGAGGGGGAGAGAGAGAGAAAGAGAGAGAGAGAGAGAGAGAGAGAGAGAGAGAGAGAGATTTACTTTTATTTTATTTTTATTTTTTTAAATCTGAAAATCAGAAAAACAAATAAGAAAAAAAAGAAAATCATATTTACAGGGGCAAATCCGTCATTTTGAAAAAAATCAAAACAAATTGGACCAAACAAGCAACAAAATGATAACTTTGGACCTCTGGTGTTAGTCTAATCCTTTTTTGACCAAAGTGGCAATTTTGAGCAAACCGCATGGACCATTTGTGCAGTTTTAGTCTTTTGGATAACATACAGAATGAAAGTGAAACCTTGCCATATATCTTTAAAGATTTTTACAAATGTAACTTCTGTAACATCCAGAAAATTAGACAAAATTAAAATTTTTCAAAAACATCCCAATAACCATAATTATTTACAAAATCATTGTTTTAAAAGTGTTAATCAACAATCAAAGTATCCCACAATCTAAATAACATAATCTAAAGGATGTGCATGATCACGCATGCGTCTTGTCACGGTCATCTGAAGTATTTGAAACAATAAACTGAAACTGTAAGCCAAAGCTTAGTGAGTTTCCCCAAAGTTCCCACCACACAAACATATAACCAAACAAATATCGGGTATTCGGGTCCACAACCTTTTGGTTGGATTACAACCGGTCTATAATCTTTCGGTTAGAATGCCCCGACCCACAACCTTTCGGTTGGATTACCAATACATATTGGGTCCACAACCTCCTGGTTGGATTACCCTCGGTCCACAACCTTTTGGTTGGAATGCCCCGACCCACAACCTTTCGGTTCGAAAACAGTAACATACTTCTAGGGTTCTTGATATTCAATAGTTGTTTTCAAATCATAGTGAGAACATAGATCCTTTAGGGTGCATGTGAACTTAGGGTTTATGTTTTTCCACCAAAATAGATTTTTTGTAACATATAAAACTCATCAGTGGTATCAGAGCCATTGTTCTCATTGATCTTGCACAAAGTTGAATATATCAAAATTAGGGTTTATAGAAACTAAACCCTAATGGAGGCATTTTCAAAAATTACAAGGGTTCTTGAAACCCTAGCCTCCACCCTTAGGTTTTTTGATTTTTGTAGGGGTTTCTAAAACCCTAGCCTCCTCTCATATTTTCGATTACTTAGGGCAAGTTAGGTTTTCCTTGTTTGATAATTATTGTTTTAAATAGTTAAAATAGAATAATTAAAATTGGATAACCCCAATACCCTTATTTTTCGAAAATTTAATTAATTGTTAATTAAAAAGATAAAGATTAAATCATAATTAGATTTAAATTAATTTAATCATAATTAGATTTAAATTAAATTAATTAATTGTTAATTAAAAAGATAAAGATTAAATCTTAATTGGTTTTATTTTAAATTATATTAATTTTTATGTTAATTTCGAAAATTTAAATTTAAACCTAGTATTTTAGAAAAGTTTTAAAATACACCTTATACTATATAATTAAAAGATTAATAATATATATATATATATATATATAT